GGGGGGGGGGCACCTTATCACCTGAATCTCCTCCTAGAGCACCATTGTGTTCTTTGTAACCACATCTCTCTCAGAGGGGCGTGGGGAGGGGCTCCTTATTTTCATCTAAAGTAACAGACAGAGAATCAGCTCTTTGGAAACAGGGCTGAAACAGAGGGGATTATGGGTAATGCTGCAATGATCTGTTTGGTGTTTGGAGCCAAACAGAGACATGTTCTGTATATATCTGAGACCAGTAATATATTGATGAAAGACAGTATAATAGGGGACTTTTAAGTAAGGGGATTTAATGGGTTGACACATTGATATTATCCTCTGATTCTGAAGCACATGTTGGCTTTGTTTTGGGATGATATCAAAATGACATTTTAAAGATTTTGTCAAATATTTTAGGGCCACTACAGTATGCTTAGAAAAAACCCAATAACTGTAACTGAGTTTAGTCAGGGTGCTAAATTAATAAATCAATAAATAATGATGATGTAGTCAGTGTGGGATATCGATTGAAGGGGAAGAGGGAAATGAAATGATACAGAGCTCACAGTAAAGTGTGGTAAACAAAGAGAAAATCAAAACAAAAAGCGCTGCTCTCATGGCTGTTCGGGGAAGGAAGTGCAAACAGAGACGCAGTCCGGGAAGGAGAGAGAAAGGGAGGAGGGAGAAAGGGAGGAGGAGGGAGGGAGAAAGGGACCTGTAACTGAAGAACATAAACCTGAGCTCACCAGCATTTCTCTCCAGCCGCTGCTCCACTGGATGTACAAACTCTCCCCTCTTTCAGACAAAACATTGCATGGGTAAGTTATTTCTTAAGTAATTCAAAGTGTGAGTTGATAAATTGCTATTTTATATACGTAGAGAAGTCAAAGGGACACATTCCTTCAGAGGCTGGCGCGGCACAAAGCACGGTTTGTTGACACTTGATTTGGGGAAATGTAATGTTTGACTCTCTTCACTTATTGTTTACCGCCGAGTGTTAGGCAAACTTTCATGTTGTGCTAGGACAGAATGAAATGTGCAACTTTTTTTGACTTTTTTAATGAGTAGAAAATCGTTGGTTTAGCCCTAAAATATTTTACAAATTAGAATTGAAATGAAGGATTTGAAAGGATGTTGTCAAATGCTTGAGTTGCAGCTATGCTTTTGTAATTGTAAGGGACTATAACAATACGAATTACAAGTTCGGTCACTACACCAGATTTGTAAGATATGGAGGTATTTCAAATCACCAGTCATGGGGGTGTAATCAATGACATATTTGACATTTTACAACATTATATTCTTTGGGTAGCAAACCAAGATCGCCGGTATCGTAACACGTCATTGGATACAAAATGTATGATTTTGTGTGCTCAATGAAAATGGGGGGTAATTAATCGATTTTATATGATCAAATTATACTTTCGATTTTAAGTATCATTTAATTAATTTTGAATTAGAACACATTTGGGGAAAACCTCAGCACAATATGAGGTCACCATACCAAAGTTTGGCAATTATTGAACATTAATTAAAAATGGACCAAAGAACAACATTTGTTGGGCATTTACCGAATTTAGTGGATATTTTGGAATGCTTAAAGATTTTTGGATCATACCAATACAACGGGGGTTTGTACCAAATCTAGGGAATTGTTTTGCTTTTTTTTTAACCATTATAAATAACACAACTTTGGAGACTTGGTGTTCACAATAACGTTTGAGTGGATTATACCAACAAACAAGCAAATAAGGTGGGGCAAACCTTTGGTGGCAATATGAATTACTTAAATGTTACTATATCAAATTACAGATATTTTTTGCGCGATGTACAAATGCTTTTATTTGAACTAGATTACATTTTCTTTTTACCGGACTGCGCCACATTGGACGATAGTTTTACACAACAAGATGGGGATTAAAAATGTATTCTGGTTATTTAAGCGCTCTATGACATGATTGAAGACATTGTATGGACACTATAAGAAGGTTTGAGTTTATAACAAGTTGTTAAATGTTTGGGTTACTACCATAGACTGGTTAATACACCTCTGGAGTGTTATCAGCTGCTGATTAGATCCCCAGAAGGGTTTTCTGGTATCTCTGTTCACGGTGTAATCTGTTTCCAGTTGCAGCCATGGAGTGCCTCAAAGACTGCTGCAAGACCTTCATGAAGAACAAGGGGACGAAGCAGGAGACCCAAGGTGATCATAATAATATATTCATAATTTAACTTTTTTGTAAAGCACTTTTCATACACAGGAAGGATGCAGCACAAAGACAATTTTTAAGTCAGAGGTTAAAGAAACATATTGGCACATAGGCAGCATGTGTACAGGACATACATCATTTAAAGAAGGTAGACAATTAAATAGAATAAATACAATACAATGATCCCAAAGGAAACAACAGATAAGCCATTTTTTTTAATATATATTCTTTTTTAATTCAACAATAAAAAATATTTTTTTAGCGAACCATACCAATTTTATCAACGTTAAATCTGCGTCCTGCACATCAGACATATTTGACAACGTTTTTGTTTGTAATTGTGTGATTTCCTCTGCTTTGAAGTGATCGCTGTAAAGATGCCTCTCAAGGCTTCAGGATTGGATGTGGACGAGGGGAAAAGAGGCGTCTCAGAGGATTACCTCCTGTCCAAACTGCCCCCCAACGGCAGAGTGGTGCCGTTCGTCCTCCCCACCTTCAAGGCCTCTTACATCCAACCCCGAGGCTCCCGGTACCCCAACCTACAGTCAGGACCCCAGAGTAAGTACTCACTGAGAAAAATAACATTCGCTTTGTTGCATTAAAGTATATGTTCATCTTCAAGGTTTATTGTATATACCATTATATCAGTCCTAGTTTCCATTATTATGCAAAACAGCTTAGTCTTTTAGTGAATTCGTTTTTTCTTAAAAGTAAAACATATTTTACTAGGAGAAACTGAAGACTACAACTCCCATGATCCCACGCTTCTTCACGACGTTACTACCCACTGAGAAAAATAACTTTTACTTTGATTGCATTCATAGATATGTTCATCTCAAAGGTGTAGCATGCAAGTTTTCCACTTTTAAAGGCCTACAAATTACTATATTCTGTACAGTTGTGAACTTATCCCAGATGTTTCCAAGAGAAATGTGTTATTGCAATGGACACTTACATCATAAAGTACTTAAAAGCACTAATTACACATTTCAATTCATTATTAACAATCAAATAAAGTCATATATACTATTATATCAGTCATCATCAGTTGCCCTTATTATGCAAAGCAGCTTCTTTTACTTATTTAACCCTTATGTTTTGTTCGGGTCCCCCGTGACCCATTTTAAATTATATAATAACAACGCTCTAGTTTTTTTAATCTGAACAAGGCTTCATGATATCCTCCACAGCAGCTATATAAACACTACAAAACTGATTGGGAAACGTTTTGCCAAGTCTGAAGGTCTCTCTAAAAAAAAGTGTATAATTTGTTGTTGGGTCTGGGGAGACCCAGCAGAAATGTTTTGGGTGACTCGGGTCAAATTTGGCCCAATCAAGATTCATCTCTGACTTTCGACACACCTCCCCCCACCCCCCCCTTCATCAACTGTAACAATCATTTTTCGCAACATGCACCTGGTCTCCCCTCCCCCCACGAGAACTCGACCTTTCTCAAAGAATATGTACACAAACACTTGAACATGAACACACACACATGCACGTGTGTGTTTTGGGCCATGACATAATATTATTATTATTACTTTTATCCAAAGCGACTGACATACCCAATACTGTGGACAATCCCCACAGGAGCAATTTGGGGGGGAAGTGTCTCAGGGACACAACGACATGCTGACTGCAGTGGGGTTTGAACCTGTGCCCCCCTGATCCGAACTCCAACGCACTAACCCACTGCGCCACACGCCTCCCGTTAAATGACAGCAGCATTGTGCGGTTATGAATGCATTATAAGTTAGTTATGATGTAGTTAAAACAATATTGGGTAATAGTAATTTTTTTGGTGTGTTTTGGACTGAGATAAATCATGGGTCAAAATTGACACCATGAACGGTAACAGCTTTTGAACACAACACAAGGGTTAAGTGAATTTGGTTAATACTTCTTAAACTTTTATTTAAAAGTGCTATACCAGGTAAAGCTGAAGACTACAACTCCCATGATCCCACGCTTCTTCACAACGCCACTTAGCATCTTTAGTTTTCGTTTCAATTGAGAGACTCTTTCTGGTAGAACACTAGTGTGTGTTTAAGGGATTAACGCAATATCGTCACCACAAATGCACTGTGATGGGAAATACCATAGAAACCTCAGATGTTTTTGTTTACTTAAAGGTTGGATAGGTAAATAATAGAAGCTCATAGAGTCTGTAACATTAAACACACAACAGGTAGCACAATACTTTATTTATAACACATGTAGTCCTTCCTAAACAAAGGGTCAGGTTAAAGTGGAGATCCTGTATACTTGAAGTGTCTTTAAGAACCATAAAAAGCACTTTATGTATGTACAATTCATTATTATTATGATTATTGTTGTTATAGGGTCAGATGTGGAGGTTTAATTAGGAATGGCAGCCTTCATGTTCAGTGCTCTCATATGTAACAATGTCCTGATTATGTGAGGAACCTTGTTGCTATAGATGTGGCAAGTGTGAGAATGGCACTTCATATTAAAAAGTGTACCCACCCCTGGGTTAAATAAAAGATTTAGCCTCATTAAAACCAGCTCAGCTTACTGAAGTGTGACCTGATGTTTGCTCACTTAAGTACCAGGATGTCCCGTTTCTAAATGAATATCATGGTATTTTAAAGGTCCCCTATTATACTGTTTTTCATCAATATGTTATAAGTCTCAGATATATACAAAACATGCCTCTGATTGGCTGAAACACCAAACAGATAATTGCGGCATCCCATAATCCCCTCTGTTTCAGCCCTGTTTCCAAAGACGCAGGATTTAAAAAATGGGCAGAAAAGGGGCTGATAAAATATAGCGATCTCTTTCAGGATTTAAAAGTTCAATATGACCTTACCAAATAAGACTTCTATAGGTATTTGCAGCTAGACACTACATAGGGGAATGTATAGGAAGGGGAGACTTAGAAAAGACAAACTCGGGTATTCAGATTTTTTTTTTAAGGGTTACAAATCAGATCAAGGTCTCAAAAACATCTCAAAGTTATATAATGGACTAAATTAGTTAATTGCAAAAGACACAACATATGTAAAGGAAAAATGGGAAAAGGAAGGAAATCTTACTCTTCGAAATATGGGAAAAGCTGATGAAGCAACAATGGGGATCTACTTCCGCCCTGACCTGGAGGGAATTTGGGTGGAAAAACGTAATGAGGTTTTTGAACCTGTTAAGCCGGGGGCTATGGGCTTTTTTTTCACAAAACTGTGTATCAGGGCTTCTTAACATTTAATAAACTATGAATGTGTCATACTCACTTAACAGGAAGAAACTCGATTCGAACAATTTTTACCGAAACAAAACACAAGTCTCACAAGAAGCGTCTGAATTAGCCCTGAGCGAAAAAATGCTACCGCACTTAGCACAGAACTCTAGTTATAAATACTCTATTACTCATCGGATCTGCACAAACAAGATATTAGCTAGCAAGCTGAGATTCCACAGATTCTAGAGGTATTGGTATCATCACTGAGCGATCAGAACTCGCGACATGGGAAGCGAAAACAGACATCACAACACAGAGCTTTATGGAGCAAAAACGGGAGAAATGTCTTACCTTCTGCTGTTTCTGATCAAAAGTTGTGTTCAATGGCATTAAAACGATAAAAACGCAGCTGATAATCCATAGGTTAATCCAATGTGTCTGTGTCACTTTGAAATGATTACTGATAATCAATCATTACGTTTTTATGTCAAAAAACTGAGTTTTCATATTAACTGCTATGATAGCTACCAGAGTGTATGACAGCTTCCTGTTTTGGGTATCCTGGCTACGCATCACTCTCACTCCTTATTTGGTAACGTGTAGGTGGATTTAGGAACTTCCCCTCGATTCTATTGGCTCTGACGGTTAAAAAGAGATGTCAATCATCAAAATGGAAAATCCACCCAAATGATGATTTTTGTTTTTGCTAAACCTCTCTAAAAAGGTCAAATGTCACTTGTTTTGCATCAAGGGTACTTATTATATGTTGTACTTTGGATTCCTAAAGCTTTTAGTCTACCATCCCATCATTCAAGGGTGGTTTTCACTATAAGTAAAAAAGAATCTTTGGACGGACACTATAATTTAATATTTTTTACTATGTTCAATCTGAATTTACTTTAAAATAAAAATAAATCTATATTGATTCTGACTTTTCTACATCCAACTCACAGGTTTATCATTGCTTTGAGAAAAAAGATTATTAATTTATCCCTTTTTAGAAGTGAAGTTATAGTCATTTGTTCTGGGAATGTCATTTTCAAGCCTGAGACCTGGAAAACAGGCTCAGGGCTTACAGTAACTAAAACACCTGCACAACAGGTTTTCATAAATATAAACACTTCATGTTGGAGGTCATGTGGTGAGAAAAAGGCAAATCATTATCATGTGTTCCGGCCATACTTGTCAACCCTCCCGATTTTCGCGGGAGACTCCCGATTTCATTGCCCTCTCCCGGTTTCCTCCCGGGCAGATATTTCTCCCGCATTTCTCCCGATTTCTGACAAAATCGGATTTACACACGACTGTTTCCACTCGGACTTTAATACAGCTACACCATTGTTTGGTTTCCATGGTAACACGTCTCTTTTGTAGCGCGCAACTCAAAGTCTGAGAGGGTGAGGCAGATATTCACAGAAAACAGAACAAGAATCGACAACTACTCTACTCTCTGCTCACTCCTTTCCTGTAAAATACAGGTCCAGCCCACACATTATGCTCCATCAAGGATGGTGCTACAGGCCGCAAGGCAGTGCACTTACAAATACAATAAGCATGTTAATGTTAATCTAACAGCTCCGGCGATCCACTAGCACCCTCCCCCCCCCAATTTTGCATTTTGAAATGCTCCCGATTTCTGAGGTCTAAAGGTTGGCAAGTATGGTTCCGGCAGTGCCTTGTGCTCCTGAACTTCTGAAACAAATCAAGTCCTTTATGGAAAAGATACTTAGGGTCGGGATGCCATTTAACTTTGAGACACTATACCTGGGCTTGAGACCAGACACCGTCAA